TTAAAAGCAATTATTAAAAAAAAAATGCAGTTAACACCCATCAAGCACAGGAGATCAGAAAAAAAGGGGAAATTTGCATACGTAGCACAGAATTCTTCTTAATTTACACATATCTCACACCTAACTTTTATATTTACATACATAACACTTTGGTGTTTTAATTTAAACCTATGAATGAAAATGTATATTTCACTTTTAAAAATAGTGCTATTTTCTATGTTATTATGTGTGTAAATACGAAAATTTAGGTGTGAGATACGTAAATAAATAAGAATTGTGTGATATGTATGTAAAATGCCCCAAAGAAATAATCTCAATTGACCAGGTCATGGTTTACCTACGGCAGACTACATTGATAGCCGGTGATCGAGAACTGATCGATGACAAAAAACAGCCCTAATAGTACAATAAAAGAATTGAATCAGTGTGCATGGGTGACTAGCAGAACATAGTAAAAATTATTTAGAAGCAGCCTCAAACAATAAGGTTGATCCTCTAATAATAAATTGAGGTTGAATAAAAGAATTAAAATTTCACCATTTTCAAACTATGTGCAAATCTACCAAAATTAAATCTATTGGCAGGATTCGAGAGAAAGGATGCTTATAATTAATTCAGCAGTTAAAATAAGTCTACAAATAATCAGCAATGTTCTTACAGATAATTTCACAAGTTTTAATTTAACCATTCTTCATTTTTTAGAAAAGATGCGTGCCCGAGTGCAGTAAGATAGCATCCATGAGTACAATGCCCGAACCTCTTCTTTCCGTTCCTACACCACAGCTACAAGTACTCGGAACTCTTCTTAACATTCCTACACCACAGACAAAACTCAAGGTATCTCTATCATCATCATCATAAGTCTTATCCAAGGCTACTAGCTAGAACTTCATTAACCACAATTGCAATTGGTACCTAGTCTGGTTGATTTGAAGAGCCCTAGACAAATGTTTATCTGGCAAAACCCCAGTTTAAATGAAATCCAATAATACAAATTATAAACCTACTCCCAAAAATGCAAGGGTCTGTTTCGCAGATTTGGAAGAATAAAAGCATGTATGGTAAAAAAAAATTAGAATAGACATTTTAATGGACCTATTTTGCAAAACTTCAGTTATTTTACTCGCAATAGTAAAATTGAATCACAAGCAGTTTTTAGTGAATGCATACAAACAGCCTCAAGGATATCCCTTTTTTTCCTCCAAACATTGCCCTTCCATACACCTGTAATGTTCTCGGGAGAAGAAAAGGAAAGCCGAACGAGATAGAAAGCGAGGAGTCAAGTGAATTGAAAAGAAGAAGAGGAAACGAACAGTTAAAAGATGAAGAGATGAAGAGAGAACGAAGAGTCGATTAGGGGGAAGATGAGACGAGGAATCAACATTATTCCAGCCTATAAAAGGAATGTGAGGATGCAGAGGGAGACCAACTTACCTGGGAGCCGAGCAACGAGCAAAGGAGAGGAGAACGGCTAGGAAGAAGTCTGAGGAAGTATCGTTGTTAGGGTTAAGCTGTAGAGGGACGACGATCGGTATCGTGACGTGATCAGAGAAGTTGAAGAGGAGGAAGTCGCAGAGGAGACGACGTGAGATCCTGTGCAATCGAGGCAAATAAGAAGAAAAGGAAGGGACAAAGTGTGCAGGAGCCTGGGTCGAGCCGACTTTTTGGAAGAGTTAAGGGTAATTTTTTTTAATTAAGTCGCAGAGGAGACGACGTGAGATCCTGTGCAATCGAGACAAATAAGAAGAAAAGGAAGGGATAAAGTGTGCAGGAGACTGGGTCGAGCCGAGTTTTTGGAAGAGTTAAGGGTAATTTTTTTAATTAAGCTAATTTTTTTTAATTAAGTAATATAATAATAATAATAGTAATAATATAATATATATTATTTGAGTAAAACAAATAATCATAATAAAATGATGAAAAATTAATACTTAAATAGTAAAAAAAAAGTAACAATTTTCTTAAAATAATAAATAAATTAAATTTATAACGTGTTAGGTTTCCACTTTAGAAGAGTCGTTGTCGAGGCAAAATTTTATCGAATTAAGAGTCATCGAGATGAGAAATTTTACTTCTAAATTATGGTAATAATGTTATTTTTTTAATCACTCGCATTAGAATGTCATTAGTCAAGATATTTTATTACTGCATCTAGAATATGATTATTTTGGCGTATTAATCATCTAGAAATGAATGTGAATGATTTGCATTAGTTATACATATTTACTACAAATGAAAGAAAGATATTAGATAACAATTAAAATGCAAACAAAATGATTCACAGTATGCTTGCATCTGGATGTTTCACTATGATGGAAGATCTCTTGATGGTACTAGGGGTAACACTAATGTACTTATGCATGTAAATGAAAAAAGATATTGATATTGATGTGTCTTAATTGACACAACTTTAGACGGTGTCTCCTATGACAGTTCTGTAGATATTAAATGATATTGATACGATTTTGATATAGACCCTCTGAATTACATGTCAAAGATTTATATTGATTTATAAATAAGTTTTACTAGCATGCATATTATTTTTCCCCCTTAAATTATTAAAGTTTAAAAGTATGAGTATCATTAACAATGTTTAGTTCACTGCTGTTTTAACTAATTTTTCAAGTTTAATTAAGGGTCTGTTTGGGACAACTGCAACTTATTGACAATCTGCTGATAAGCAATTAATCCAGATAAATTGTTGATCAGCAGCTGATTCGAATAAAATGGTTGGCTATTTGGTTTGTACTATTCGAAAGCAGCTGATTTGCAGCTGATTGTGGATAAATGATCATTCTGCCCCTGTTCAGTAATGTTGTTTGCAACAGAACTGTCTGGCAATATATTCAGTATTAGAGCAGCAGAAAACCAAATACAGAACATAAAAAATAAAAATAAAAAACAATCCTCACTTAACAGTCCAAACATAAAAGTAAACAAGAACATAAAGCAAAAGAAGACCCTTTAACACATTCTTTAGCCTAGATGTTTTCATCTATAACATATGAATAGAAGTTGATTCTATAATTTAGAGCAAGCCAAAAAAAATTATTCTTTCCTCAATCATCTCTCTTAATTATTATCAAAATTCTGATTTAATAAAAAGTGTGATTAATATTTTAAGAGACATACATATATTAAATTGATAAAAACTTAAGTCACCTTAACTTTTCTTTGTTATCACCAACCTTTTCTAGATTCAAAAGACAAACTCCAATAGCTTGAATTCTGATTTTTTTTTTTATTCAAAAGACAAACTCCAATAGCTTGAATTCTGATATTTTTAAAAATTTACTATTAATAATTAATCATTAAACATATATATTAAATTTATAAATTATAAAATTATAAAAAATCTTATCACATTTGGTTTTAAACCCACACAGATCTCATCATTCTTATTCCTCTGCTACCTCGCTTTCAACTTTGACACAAAAGTCGCTCCTATTATTTCTTCATGAGAAGCATCACCTGCTTCATCTTCTTCCATCGCAGAGGAGTCCCTTGATTTCTCTTCTCGACATGGGATTGGCTCGCTACGTCGCCTTCATCTTCTTCCATCGCAGAAGCTTCATCCTTCTACTTCTCTCCGCAAACCTGCAAGGTAGGGCCGGAAACGAACCCTCATTTCTGCTTCCTCTTCTATGGCATCACCTTAACTTTTCTTTGTTAGGCGACCTTTTCCTTCCTCACGGTACCAAGCCTCTCTTCTTCTTTTTCTCTATCACTCATTCAGCACGGGTGAGGGAAAGGGTAGCCGGGTAATAATCTGTAATGGAACGCGAGCCGCGGGATCAATCCCGCGACCGCGTTTCTCCGAAACAGAGGGATGACTCGCCCGCGCATATCTGGATAATTCAGACAAACGCGATATCTTAAGGTTAAAGCAACATTTTTAAAACGCCACCCGCACTTGTAAGCTGCCCCAAACGGGGCCTAAATTATTAAAAGATGAGTGATATACGAGAAAATGTTTTTACATAGCGGGACAACCAGCAACGATGTAATTTTAAATCGTACTGCTTTAATTTAATTTGTAGTGACCTTTTCATCTGTTAAATTGAAGACTAATATAAAAAATTTAATTCACACCGTTCAACCGTCTGTATTTGCCTTAGTTAATTCCAAACCACGGGTCGGGTCGTGACAACACCATTCACATTTGCGACACATTTAACTCTCTTGCCAATAAAATCAATCAGAAAAGAAAACACCAAGGAAGATTATATTTATGAGACATTAAGATTTCAAACCAAGCAAGTTGCTTAAATGACTACAATACAAACTAAAGATAGCTTTTATTTTTTATCAGGAAAGCCAAGTGTTGATCCAATCCCAGTTGACTTATCTCAACTATGCCAGCTCATGTGGATGGAATTCCTTTCTTGGGTGAGGCGTGCATTGCATCATTAAGAAAACAATCTGATGCAGTTTAGGAGTTGAGATTGAAAGAAAAACTATTGGCTTGTTGTGATCATCCTTGAGGCATAGGCTGTTAACCAGGAGACGTATACTTTACCCAAAAGCGCCTGCTAACCAAATATTGGGATGGGATCTGGTGAAAAGCTAAAATACTTAGTTACTTATTGAATCTTTTCTCAATTATTGCAAACTTTCTTCCAATGGCTCTAAAAGCACTTCCAATGGAAGGAAGAACAATTGCTTATTAATGGAATGAAGGGATTGTAGTGTAGTTCAGCAAGAGTGAGAAAGCGAAATCTTAGATTCTGATTAAATGTCAACTTATGTTTCTTGACTGTTACATACCCTCGAAAGATAGACTCGCGTTCTAGTTTGGTTTCCACCTCGTACAAAACAACCACCCCGACCTACGATCCCGCTTTATGTTGACTGACTTCATAGGTATGTGATACTATTCTTGACAGATTTCCACACAAAAATTAGGGCCAATAATAATTTTATTTCTGGAACACCAAACAACTTAACATGAATGCATAAAAGATAAGCACCTACAATTTGGAAGGTAGTCAATCTCTCCCAAAGCCTACTATTCGAGAGATAGGAAATCTTTTCCTAAAACTCATAACAATAATCTCTTGCCTCCACATAACCCTAAACATATTAGCCCTATTTATACTGAAAATAATAAATAACAAAAGATAAAATTGCCGTTAAGGCTAATAAAAGACAATTGTCTATAGGTTACATTCGCGTAACAATACTCATCCCAAAAAAACACCTTCTCCTCAAGGTGGATAAAAGGAAACTAATGCTAGATCAAGCTCCCCTGCCTCCTCATCTCACACTGTGAGAACCAGTGATGTCTAATCCTCACAACAGTGTCATGGGGCAAACTTTTCATCCCAATGAAAACAAAACTCATTGCTCGATTCTGAATATTTGTCTTTGTAAGACACTTGAAGTTGACTCCTAGACGGGCCCACACATTCTTCTCCTTAAGCGCCTCTCTCAAAAATAACATAGTATGGGTCCTCAATATCCTGGTCGTCGATATACTCTTATATAATTCTTTCATTGTGTTATCTCTGTTGGCCTTCTCCATCTAGGCAAGCTTCATGGTCTCCACCAATCTCCACAGTCTCAATAGTCGACGTGTTGGACCTATTATAGGCTTTAGACCCTTCAATGGTCTCCACCAATCTCCACAGTCTCAATAGTCGAAGTGTTGGACCTATTATAGGCTTTAGACCCTTCATCATGTTACTGTTTCAAAAATCCCCTTCAGTCGTCCAGGCAGTAGCTTGAATCTCTCTTCCAACAAACAATCCTTAAATTCTTCTCTCGACCTATTCACTGCAAGATAACGCTCCACTTAGTACACCCACACATGTGTGTCAACCCCCCAAAGATCGACATCTCAACTTCTTAATCCTAGCATCTCCACCCAAACGTTCTCTCTCTTCATTGCTATCCTCCATGTATCAATGGTAAAACTCTCTCCTTTGATCATAGCCATAGGCCATCCTGGATACACTCCTTTCTACTTAAACTCCATACCAGTTGCATAACTTCTTCTCCATGTTTCGGTTCAACTGCCTCCCTCGAAAATCCTAATTCACTCCTAATCGAAGCCCTGAGAGGACGTTCTTAATGGTGGATGATTTCCTCCTCGTGTTTCTTTCGTTTGATCTCTTTCTTTTTCGATTTAGCCAATGAATCTCCAATCAACTCTTGGTTAGAGTTTACAAATTGAACCACTGAAGGGGACTTCAATTTCACCTCGATAAGCCTCCTCATTATCTCCTCCAAATGCTGGAATTGATTTTCAATGGATGAAAATTTTTTATCATCGATTGTGAACCTTTTTTCCATCTCGAATTTAGGTTGACACATATCTTCTTCCAATTTCTTCTCCAAATCATATGTTTTGTTGGTCTTCATTATTCCCTGAATAATTTTTAGCCACAAAGGTGGAACCCTTGTAAGCCATTGTTTCACAACTAGCTCAAATTGAAACACTAATGTCATTATCTCACGATTATGGCTAAGAGAGTGTTGGATTTGTCGTATCCATATATGTTGGATCTTTTGTCATGAGGCTCTGCGATCTGATTGATCTTCCCAGCTACCTCGATCACGATGGAACTGTCATGAGGCACACTGTGATCCCATCATCTGTTCCAAACAGCTTTTGCTCGATCCCATGGCGATAGATGCGACGGGAGTTGAAGGTTTGTGCGTCGCAATCCCGTCGTTACTTCTTAGCTATGTCAATCATAATTGTATCACACAAGACACGCCACTCCCAGCTAGCTTGATCGCGACTGTTTCATAGATGTGATCCTGTCATCACATCCCTGCTAGCGATGCAATCCCGTCGTCGCTTCTCTGCGGAAGCTGCTAGCCAGATCGTGGCTACATGGGAACTCCTATGCGATCTATATGTACGTCACGATCCTTTTCTTCCTAGAAGAGACGCGATCTATTGATAGCCTTCTTTCCTTCCCAAATCGATGCTCTGAAACCATTTGATACGATTCATGACAAATTTCCACACATAAATCAAAGCCAATAATAATTTTATTTCTGGAACACCAAACAACTCAACAAGGATACATAAAGATAAGCACCTACAATTCGAGAGGTAAGCGATCTCTCCCAAATCCTACAATTCATGAGGTAGGAAATCTCTCCTAAACCATAAATCTAAGACTCACAGCAATAATCTCATCCATCCCCCTAACCCTAAACATATTAGAATTACTTATACTAAACAATTATAAAAACAAAAGACTAAATTACCTTTAAACTAATAAAAGATAATTTCCTTTAGGCTAGGCCGGCGTAATAGTATGCTACTAAGCAAAACTCCATGGTGAAACAATCAACGACGATTAACTCAACATCACAAAAAACCAAAATTAGATCACTCAAGGGAGGCACTCAAGATAGATGCAAGATTCTTTCTCTTGACGTTCCACTTGGTTGTTCAAAGCAAAGCTTCTATGAATTCGATTACTTAAAATGAGATGGCAAATGACAGCACCACTTCTCAAGCCTCATTCCAGTTGCAAAGCTCTAATGGTGTTCTTATATTTCAATTCTTCTTTGTGAATTGATTGCCTCAAATTTGCCAAGGTTAAGAATTTGCAAAAAGACTCATCCCCAAACTTCTTAGGGCTTTTTAACTGATCTGGCTAAATATTTTATGTACCACGAATGACATACTTCAACAATTTATGATGATCTCTCCACGGTCCCATTTCATCTATCCGACAAACTTGAAATAGAAAAGCAAACCAAAGACAAATCATGAATGAAAGAAAGAACGGCTCCCTCTACAACCAAGGCAAGTAAGGACACCCAATGACCTATAACACTAATCACTACTCCTACTTGGGCTAAGAACTAAGCACCAAACCAAAGCTACAAAAAACAAATAGAAATTACTACAAACCCAACTAACAAGGGTTTGCACAAGCATCCGACTTGAATCTTTAGATATACCAACCATTAAAGACTCAAAAAACTAAATTTTAGATCAATTGTTATTGCCAAAAATAAAGAAGATTTTATTAGCATAGCACAAAAAAGACAAACTTGGACTATTCAATTCATACTAATAACTAGTATTAGCCTAAATTATTCAACAGCAAAATATTCATGGACTCATGCAAGGCTTGATTCAAAAGAAGAGAATAGGGGACATGGTAAACCTTTTCCAAGTTAATTCTGTATAACTCGGGTGAGGATGCGGCACAAAGTAAGTCACAGGACCAGTTGTCATACTTCATATCCCTTCCCATCCTGAAAAAAAAAACATTAAATTTTTTAAATCACAATTCACACATAAAATTTTCAAGCATGGGTCAATAAACTACTTTCTCAATTAATTTGTAATATTGATACTATTTTGGCAACTAAATATTTAAAGGGCATAAAACTTTAATCAATGCACCGAAAGCTTTCTACAATTTAATTATAATGTTCTAGACAGCCTATAACAATTTCTTTAATAACAGAAAGTTAATTAAATACTAATATAATGTATATGATACATAAAACCAATAAATACTTGTTTTATCTTTCTATTGTATTAAATTTTTGAACGTAATATAACTTAAAAAGGTCATAAACATTTAAGATAGTACTATAACCATTTAAATACTTCAAAAATAAAGGAAAAAAATGACAGAAGTATATAAAAATGTGGATTAGTTATTAATGTTATACAACATATTGATATTTAACATTATTAAAGAAATTCCCTCACAACCGTTTGGCTTTACAGAAAAAATGTCAAGTTAAAGAAATGCAATACAATTTAAGCGCAATGTACTTCAAATAATTTAAGAGATGTTCGGTTAGGTGTAAAATAAATACAAGTGATAACCTTTTGCATTTGGTTTAAAATAAAATAAATTTAATGTAAAACAAGATGGCGAAATCAATGGCAGTGATAAACAGCTACAGTGTTGGGTGGTGGCGACAATAAACGACGGTAGACAATGGCAACGAAAGCTTATGTGATATATTTAGAAGTCAGCCAAATCAGCCGATTTTTGAATTAATTAAAATTAAAATAATGGGTGAATCCAACACCAAGATTTTGAAAATGATTCTTTTTGCATTACCGTGGTAATGAAGCAAACAAAATGACTCCTAAAGCAAAGCCATTATCAAAGTCCCGTGATAATCAATCTGTATTCTTAACTATTACTGTTTTATGAATACAAAATTACAAGCACGAAATATTTAGATGTATTTGATGTTAATCATTAAAGATGACATTAAAAAATGAAGTGCTAATGCTATATTACTCCTTTATTCCACTTTTCTTATATTTTTGTTGCATTGTTTAGTAAGATCTCCACAGCCATCCAAGTGACAAAAAAATGTGCAGTGCTAATAAAGATTTATATGCTTTTTGTATGTGAGAAGTGATGTGTAACTTGAATATTGTTATATAACTATTTTGTATTTAATTATTTGGCTTGAAAAATGTTGTTATGATTGCTCATATTTCTTGTTGGATTCCGAATAATGTGGAATAGTATTATCGATATGAAAATGGGTTATAAATAACCCTTACATGAATCTTAGAATATGAAAGACAGAAGAAAGGAAATAACAAGAAAGGAAAGATATAAAAGCTAATATCCCCAATTAATTAATTCATAATAATTATTTGAAGATAAAAGAAACAACAAAATACAGGAAAAATAAAAATAGGAAAGAAAATAAATCCAATACAAGGAAATAAACCTAAAATAGGAAAATAAATAACTTTATATTAGGAAATAAATCCAATCTTCATATGTTCTAACAGAAATTAATTATTTCCTAATATAACTTCTAACACTCCCCCTCAAGTTCAAAACATGGTTGAAAACCATGTTCGACTTTGATTTGAAAGCATCTATGAGCGAGTAGATCCTGTGACGTAGAACTTGAAGTCTTCATCTCGTATTGAGGTTATCTTTAACTGTAGTTTTGTAGTGTCTGTAATTAAACAGAAGAATCATATAGGTAATGTTGTAGGAAACTTTGCAAGGAAGTAAACAACCTGCAAAACAAAATGCCTTCTAGTTGGCAGCAGTTGTTGTCGATTACATATTTTGCAATGTCTATTGATAAGCAGAAGGCTCCTACAGGTAATATTGTAGGAAAGTTTACAGGGAAGTAGACAATCTGCAGAAAAAAGTTGCAAGGTATGGCTTGCAAAGAAAAAAATGAAAAAAAAAAGCTCCGGAGGAGAGCCTGTTGAAGGAAACACTTCAAAGAAGTGTCTATTGTAGGAAAAGCTTCGGCGGAGGGTCTGCTATAGAAATACTTTGGAGGAGGGTATGATGCAGAAAAGGTTCTGGAGGCGGTCTGCTGCAAGAAAATTTCTAGAGGCATGCTGCAGGAAAAATTCGGAGGAGGGTTTGCTGCAGGAAAAATTTCGGAGGGCCTACTATAGAGAAAAGCTTCGGAGGAAGGCCTACTGCAACAAAAATTCCGGTGCATGAAAAGTTATAGAGGTTCGCATGTAAAAAGGAGGAACACCTGCAGAGAAAGTTGTAGTGTATGATCTGCAGGAAAAAAAAAAAGAGCATATGCGGGAAAAACTGCAGGGTATAACCTGTAGAAAAGAAGACAACCTACAAGGAAAGCTGCATATTTCTCAGTTGAGGATGAACGTAAGAGACTTCGGGGGCTATCTTGACAACCGGTATTGTCGTTGTTGTCTCGAAAGCTCCTTTTACGTGAATCCCATAGTGCAAAGGTATTGCTACCAGCACTCCACACTTTTGGATCTAGAATTGTCATATAACAGAAACTTTATATCTCCAGCTAGATGGGAGCACACTCCATTTACAGTAACTTGGCTCCTAAGATCAATATATGAATTCTCAACTAGTAAAGTAGCCATGTGTCTTTCTTTTAATGTTAGAGAAAGGGGCTTCGCAAGGGATTCCCATGGCTAGGCTGTCAAAATAACGCCTTCAGAACCTGTCCATAAATCACCACAGGAAGTGATGACCATGGATGGCACAGAAGTGCGATGGGCCTGCCATGAGAAACCTTCTATAAACATAGATCAAGGCTTACCAGTCCCAACACCAATGGATTGAGCTCCAATTCCCTCATCCTCCTCCTTCAAAAAACCCCCCGACTCCTGCTTCAGAATTTCCCACAACCTAATCTTTTCGTCCTTATGCCCGCTCCACATGAACCCACTCACCTCATCTGCCATCAAGCAAAGTGCCGGTGAAGTGCGGTCGGACTAATAAAAAGGGGCGCTATCCTCATCCCATTCCAAATCTCAAACAGCTCAGAAAATTTCTAGAAACACGATCCCGACTCCTGGTCAGCCCAAAGTTGCAAACTAGTGCACATATTAGTTCGCAGGAGGGAGCCCACCTATGTATCCATGAGGGACCCTTCTCCAACATCAACAGCACTGTTTAGCTTTAAGGAACCCAACCCAACCTAATCTTGCTCGCTTTGTCAGAAGTCAAAAACCAATTCCAGCTTTTACAATCCTCAGAGATGAAGATCAATGTCGTCCTTGCAGCAAAATCCATCCCTCAAAATACATTTAAAGATGTCGAAGAATAAAAAATTGCAAGATGAATCGATGGAAACCCTGCCAAAATTCTGAAAAGAAGATTTTGATTGGCAGCATACAACAACAAGAGTTGCTAGGTAACGAATAGAAGTGTCAATGGAGGACATTAATTCTTCCATTGTATGCAGCATATGCACTTGCTGTCCTTCTTTGCGCTTCCATATACTGAGTCTCTCATCCAGGTGAACACAATAGAGCAGGTCAATGTCCGGATCAGACAACATGTCCATGAACTTGCTGCACCCACACAATAACAGCACAGAGGACAAAGACGTCTGATACTGAAGATCAAACATGATGAGACCCTTTGGGAATGTCACCATGACAATGTGCCTCCATCTCGGGGAGAAACAAAACCGCGCATAAAATTGGGGGAAGGTCGCCGGTGTAGAGTGGCCAAGAATGGCCTGCTGGGTGAGGAGGTAGAGTGGCTAAGGAAGGCTTGCAAAGAGAGGAAATTTCAGGCGTTTCGGGCCAGAATTTCAGCGCAGACAAGAGGAGAACCAGCTGCAAGAAAGGAGATTTAGCCGAACATCCTTTGTACCTCCCTAACAGAGAAGGTCCGACAACAAGGGTAAAATCTCTAGCTCTGGTATCATCTTAGAATTCAAAGTAATGCGGAATACAATTATTGATATGAAAATGGGTTATACATAACACTTACATGAATCCCAGAATAAGAAAGACTGGAAAAATAAAATAAAAGATATAACAACTAATACCACCAATTATCAATTCATACTAATTATTTGAAGATAAAAGAAATAACATAAGATAAGAAAGAATAAAATAGAAAATCAAATAAATTTAATCCAAGAAAATAAATCTAAAATAGGAAATGAAATAAAGTTAAAATAGAAAATAAATCTAATCCTCATAACTTCTAACAGGAAAAAACTATTTCTTAATATAACTTTTAACATTTCACATACTTTATAATGATCAAATTTTTGTTTTGCACTATATTATTGCAATTTAATTTAATATTCTCAAAATAATTAAAATTTTTCCTAAAATATTATCTAAAAATATTTCTTAACTTTCTCATTAATCATATCATCTGCAGAATTAAATGTAAAAATAAGCTTCTAAATTGAATCTCTTTATTATAAAAAAAATTAGGAATCAATAAGTTTTATATTTAAATTATGTTGTGATTGATTTTATAAATCTCAGCAACATGTACTAAATGCACATGCAATTAAGTTGAAATGTACACATGCAAGTATGCATGCACATAGATATGTACCTACATATATATAAACATGCATACTTATATAAAAATCAATGAAAAATTAAATATAATAGAGTCTTCCCTTCTAGACATTAGGAATGAACTTGATTGACATTTAGAATGATCCTTTGAATTTAAGTGAGAAGTTACCTTCAATGTGTTGAAAACAATGAAGCACTTATCATTTAAGATAGCCAACTGCTTGAGATTTGATATTTTTGACATCAATCTCAAGGAAGTCGTAGATTTTAAATGTAAATGACTTTCTTACAGCATATACTATGGAGGTATTATATATTAGTTCTCCCAACTGTGTGTGTGTGTCTTTGTGTGAGCAAATAAAAATCTTCATATATTCAAACATTATTTACTTATAAAATTCAGTATGAAGCAGGATGCTAATATTTTTGGTTAACCAACCTTGGGATTCGTAAGCTATAGTGACTCCCATACTTAGCATGCAGACAGATAGAGCGATCAGCACAGAGAAATGCAAGCTTGGAGTAATCATCACCAAGCACCTAATTAATTAAAAAGTATTCTGGTTTCAGTTCATGCAGAAAATAAAGACAATCAATACATCAAAAAAATACATTGACGATAAAAAAAATGGCTTGCGGGGGATATGATAAGTACCTCGAAATTAATTACTTCGGAAACCAAGTGCCTTTCAAACTTCAATGACATTTCTCGTAACTCAAATACCTTCACTTGTGGAGGATAAATACCTGTCATAGATAAACAGATGAGCATGATTAGAATATGGGGGAGAACGTAAAAGAACAAGTAATTCAATTGTAGGAAAATCCAGTAGACTCGATCAAATTATGGTGCATGTTCACCCATTGATCCGCCAAAACAAGCTTCAACTTTATAACTGCTCCAGCTAAACATATATCTCCTAACCATGCCAACTTTGGTGTATCCCACCTGCCAACTTAAATTACATCCACTTAACAGGACAGAAGATTTTCAATCCATTCTTGCAACAAAGATATCAATTAACCATAGATAAAATTCAGTATGAAGCAGGATGCTAATATTTTTGGTTAACCAACCTTGGGATTCGTAAGCTATAGTGACTCCCATACTTAGCATGCAGACAGATAGAGCGATCAGCACAGAGAAATGCAAGCTTGGAGTAATCATCACCAAGCACCTAATTAATTAAAAAGTATTCTGGTTTCAGTTCATGCAGAAAATAAAGACAATCAATACATCAAAAAAATACATTGACAATAAAAAAAAGGCTTGCGAGGGATATGATAAGTACCTCGAAATTAATTACTTCGGAAACCAAGTGCCTTTCAAACTTCAATGACATTTCTCGTAACTCAAATACCTTCACTTGTGGAGGATAAATACCTGTCATAAATAAACAGATGAACATGATTAGAATATGGGGGAGAACGTAAAAGAACAAGTAATTCAATTGTAGGAAAATCCAGTAGACTCGATCAAATTATGGTGCATGTTCACCCATTGATCCGCCAAAACTAGCTTCAACTTTATAACTGCTCCAGCTAAACATATATCTCCTAACCATGCCAACTTTGGTGTATACCACCTGCCAACTTAAATTACATCCACTTAACAGGACAGAAGATTTTCAATCCATTCTTGCAACAAAGATATCAATTAACCATAGGCCTCACAGTTCCAAATACCTTGACTGTAGTATGACAAGTCATCCCTTTAACAGCAGTGTTAAAACAAACAAAATAAAATTAATGAATCAATCTTCACTTCAAGATCTAAATACATTCTAAATGAAAATGTTTAACGATTTAACTATGGTGTTTTTTCAGCAGAAATGTCAGGAGGGTAAAGAAATGAATATAATATTGACTGTAGGGCTAGTAGACCCGCATAATTTTAGAATTTTAAAACTATAAGCATCTCGTTTGCAAGGTTCCATCTCTCCAGTTGCCAAAAGCTCTCAAATGCAAAATCCATTGGTTATGTTGACCTTACAACCAACGGACAAACTACCGACACTAAACAGCTGGCTTTCCATCAGTCATAATATCCCATTATGTGGCAATCCCGTAACGTCATAGGCTTATAGCTTCCAAGCATCCTATGGAATTTATTGTCGAAGCCCAACCAAACATCATATTTTTCATACCGTTAAGTTATTTCTTTAATTATTTTAAAAAATGTATTGCTTCGGTATTTTTCAGATTCATTTTGTTGCTCTTCAAAGTACAAAATTAAAAAGTCTCATAGGATATTCTCTGATTTATTTCTTACCCTTTTTAGTCACCCCATTTGCCTATATATATGTATCCCCTAAGGGTATCAAATCGAGCTGGCCGGTCAGGCTCGAGTCTAACCCAAAATTATCCTGACCTGAAACAGTTTGACTTGAATCTAAGTCCAAATATTAAACAACGTCACAAAAGTTTAACCCAAACCTGATCAACCTTTA